AATCCACAGAAGAAGAATGGAGCGTAGAGAGACAAGAGAAGAAGCACTGGTTAAAAGGCAGCAACAAGGTTACAGCAGATTAAATATGAACAAAACAGGCCATACAAGCAAGAGAGCTGAATCAACGAATTACTTGGCAGACTTCAGCATCATCTTAAACTAACGTGGTGACATGGAGCGCCTCATACACCATCTTAAACAGCTTAAACAGCTGCTGTCGCATGTAGGATACAAGCTGGTCTGGGTTGTTTTAGCAAAAGATAGTCTGACAGGAAAACATAAAACCATGAGCCAGACGTTTCGTTTTTTTTTACCACTTCCTTCACACAATCAACCCGATGTTCTGTGCTCCTTTCATCTAGCAGTTTCCCACACATATACCCTGAAACTGTTACACTCAAAAGCAGATTTGCAGTGCAGTATAACCTTTCGCCTTGGCACACTGTAAAAATGTATAACCCCTGTGTCATGTTCATTATTAATTTCTCAAATTTTTGTCTTCCCTCTATTTATATCAAGAGTCAGGATGCCTCACGCATACCCTTTCCTCACTCCTGAGCAAAAGAAGGAGCTCAATGATATTGCTCTGAAGATTGTGGCTCCAGGCAAAGGAATCCTTGCCGCAGATGAGTCAACTGGTAAGAAAATGAACCTATATACTAACAATCAGTTCTTTGGGACAGTCAACTCAACAGTTGCCAAAAACTATGGCTTAAAGGATTGCAGTTAGGCTACAGTTGAAACTGGTTTCACTGTATGTGTTTTCTCAGACCTGAACTGAAACATTTCTGCAAACGTGCAGACAGACTGTGGCTTCCAACACCTAATAATATACTATGTTTTTATAGTCAATCTGATTTTATCTGTTTCTATAACCTCCAGGCAGTGTGGCCAAGCGCTTCCAGAGCATCAATGCTGAGAACACTGAGGAGAACAGGAGGCTGTACCGCCAGCTCCTCTTCACTGCTGACGACCGCATCAACCCCTGTATTGGTGGCGTTATCCTCTTCCACGAGACCATGTACCAGAAGACCGACGATGGCAAGCCTTTCCCTCAATACCTCAAAGAAAGAGGCATGGTGGTGGGTATCAAGGTCGACAAAGGTGTTGTCCCCCTGGCAGGAACCAATGGCGAGACAACCACCCAGGGTGAGCACAGAAAAGATCCAGACATCATCTGTATTACATAATTATCTTTTAATATCTTTATCTAACGTATTGTGTATGTTTGTCCTTCCTAACAGGTCTCGATGGGCTTTATGAGCGTTGCGCCCAGTACAAGAAGGATGGTGCTGACTTCGCCAAGTGGCGTTGTGTTCTGAAGATCACCCCCACCACGCCCTCAAGACTGGCTATCATAGAGAATGCCAATGTCCTGGCTCGCTATGCCAGCATCTGCCAGATGGTAAGACACAACAGACAGATAACCCAGTTTAACTGAATTTTACAAGATCTATTATTGGGTCTATTTTTTTTAAAAAAACATTAAAATATTTTTGCTGTTTTTGCTTGTGCATTTGATATGATCATGCCACACACATACTTCCTGCATGGGTAAAAACACACAATGAGGAAACCTCATAATGTGCCAACAAGCTCAAAAAACTTTTCTCCAAATTAATACTATGTCATAGTATTATCAAGGCAGCATAACATAAAATTTTTAAAGTCTTCACTTTTGGATTTCAGGTCTTGCCTTCCGAATATGAGCTCCTATTTTACCCTGTCTTTGTGTCCTTGCCTTTCCTAGCACGGTATTGTCCCCATTGTTGAGCCTGAGATTCTTCCTGATGGTGACCATGACCTGAAGCGTTGTCAGTACATCACTGAGAAGGTCCTGGCTGCCGTCTACAAGGCCCTGTCCGACCACCACGTCTACCTGGAGGGTACCCTGCTCAAACCCAACATGGTTACCGCTGGACACTCTTGCTCACACAAGTACACCAACCAGGAGATTGCCATGGCAACTGTTACTGCCCTGCGCCGCACCGTTCCCCCTGCAGTTCCTGGTAAGAAAGTACATCACACGCTTGCTGATATGCACACTTTTACACTTTTTTAGACATAATCTTTTATGACTAATCTGCATTAGATCTGCAATCTGGGTTGCTAAACTCTACCTGCTTTGCAGGTATTACCTTCCTGTCTGGTGGTCAGAGTGAGGAGGAGGCCTCTGTCAACCTGAACGCCATGAACCTGTGCCCCCTGCACAAGCCCTGGGCACTCACCTTCTCATATGGCCGTGCACTGCAGGCCTCTGCCCTGAAAGCCTGGGGTGGGAAGAAGGAGAACGGAAAGGCATGCCAAGAAGAGTTTGTAAAGAGAGCTCTGGTATGTCTGAATATGAACTGTGTAACTAAAATATAAAGCTATATGAAAGAGTTGTATTATTATTATTAACATCAAACTCATGCTCTAGAGTCCTCTTGTGCATTAAATAATATCATATTTTCTATCTTACAGGCTAACAGCCAGGCCAGTGTGGGCAAATATGTTTCCTCTGGAGCCAGCACTGCTGGTGGAGAGTCACTGTTTGTGGCTAATCATGCTTATTAAGCATAACCACCCTTTTTCCACCCCTACCCCTCCATTATTACATCATCACGGAAAAGGACACGTCCCTTAAGGCACCACCTATGAAATTCACACTCTTCTATTAAACGCTACAACAGAAACAGCAGCACTTTTACATCTCAGTAGGAAACAAAAGAGAAAGAAAGAAAAAAGCTTTGAGTGGTTGCTGCAGCTAGAAGACTAAAACACGTTCTTCCTCCATTCCCTTAGCTTTTATTTTTAAACACCTTTTTTCAGGTGAAGATTCCCACACTGTTTTTACACAACTTGTACTATTTTCCTTGGTCTGCTTCCAGTAAGTTCAGTATATGATTTATACTGTTACCATGGAATAAAGTATTTACCGTAGCATAATGCTTTCCTTCCTTTTTCTGGTTTTACTTTGTGTTTTACTTCTCACTGCTCAACATTTAAGTTCCCATTAAACAAACACTGTCAGTTGCCATAATAATTGCACTTCAAGCAGAAGTAGCCTTACGCGGTTTACTGATCTAGCTTTATTTTTATTAGCAAATGAAGTTTGCTGATGGGACTGTAAGGTAGCAAATTACCAAACAGAAGTAAAATATGTCCTTGTTACTGTTATTCTAAAACCTCTGTTCTAACTGTTTCAGATCCCTAGAGGATTGATTCTTTGTTACAAGTTGAACTGTTTGCACATAAAAAGTAGAAACATTAAGAAAAAACAGGAGTTTGTCTTTGTAGGTTTTCACTAATCCAGGTCATGATAGTCCAAGGAGCTTTGATAGAAACCTACTGGACTCCTTTGGGTCCATGAAGAGGTTTCACCTCTCATCAAAGAATCTTTTTCAGTTCTGAAACCAAATGGTGGAGAGTCCCAGCTATTTAAACATTAATGGGGGTTGTCATAGAGCAGCTGCTCAAATAAGTTCTATCATCTGCAGCAATGGTTTATTTGAAGATTTTCAGTCAGGTTTCAGAGCTCGTCACAGTAAAGAAGCAGCTTTAGTGCAGGTTACAAACATCTTGTAGTTGTTGATCCCAAATGTTCCAGCACGAGTACTGACGGGGACTACAAAGAGACATCATCTTTCTCCTATACTGGCTTCCCTTCATTGGCTCCCTGTTAAATCCTGAATTTAATTTAAAATCCTGCTCCTCACATCTTATCTTCATGACCTTTAAAAGTAGAATGGGAGGCAGAGCCTTCAGACCCCCTCTCTGCTTTTAAGATTAGGCTTAAAACATTCCTTTTTGATAAAAGCACATACTTATGGTTGGATAAGGTGATCCTGAATCCTCCCTTAGTTATGCTGCAACAGGCTGCTGCGGGATTCCCATGAGTGTTTCTTCTTCAGTCACCTTTTTCAATCACTATGTTTTATACACCTCTCTAAATTTAATTATAAGTTATTATTAAACTCTGGCTCTCTTCCACAGCATGTCTTTGTCCTGTCCTCCTCTCATCTCCCTACCCGTCACCCCTCACTCAGCCTGGTTCTCCTGGAGGTTTATTCCTGATAAAGGAAGTTTTTTTATTCCCACTGTCGCCAAGGCGCTGGCTCATAGGGAGTCAGTATGATTGTTGGGGTTTACTATGTTTTCTTTGTAGTATTGCAGGGTCTTTACCTTACAACATAAAGTGCCACGAGGCAATTGTTGTTGTGATTTGGCACTATGAGTATCTGATGAGTATCTAATAATGTAACAGGACATACATCAAACATAACAGGAGATAAGCCACTTTAACGATCCTTTAACATCCAGGTTTATTTAAGAAGCCTGAGTTTAAAATATTGTTTTCTTGATCTAAAATTTCCATTTTCTCTGATTAGATTGGAGCATGGCGTAACAGGAAGAGCTACATGTCAAATTTAAAGGTGTCAGCCGTTCTCTTGGACAAAGAAAATGTCATTGGGTGCATCAGTTGCAGTTTCAGATCAAGCCTTTGACCATAAAGTACGGTTTCAAAGAGCATAACTGGTGACAGCTCACAAGCCCGAGACAGAAGTCATCGCGACCACATCCATCAGTGTATCAATGCAGAACCTCTCTTAAAAATTGCTTCCCCAAATGTTCCCACCCACAATTTCCCTGTCTCCTCAAATACTCAGATCACTAAAATAAAACTCATGTTTCAGAGTTCTGGGAAGGTTTAAAATGACATGAGCAGCCTCTGAATTAAAAATCTATAACAGGAAGAAAAAAAGCCAAAACCAAAAATCTAGTAGATGTTGTACGTTACATCCAAACATACACAACTGAGCATATTTATATATTCATATATCTTCTGCATATCTCTTCCAGTCTTGTACATAATGTTCAGTAACACCAGCAAATCAGAATTAGAACCTTTAATTTTAGCTTGTTTCCATATCCAAGGTACCAAGTTTGGCTGAAAACACAAATAGATTTATAAAGTGATTAACAAAAGAAAAAATATTGATGTAGTGAGTGTAGTGAAAGAAAAGAAAAGCTGATCCACCCGAGCTACAGTGCAGTTATGTTATAGTTGACTATAATGTTTTTTAAAATCAAAATACTTTAAAAAACAATTACCAATTTACGTAAGTATTTTTTGAGATTATATGATAGAAAAACACTTTGTTGCAATAAATATACATCGATAAGTGTGCCATCACATCTAACAAATTCATGCATCGTCATAAACTTTATTCATTCAGTCAAAAATACATATGAGTGGGTGCTAGTTTATGCACTGTACCTTTAAAGACACCTTTAAAGACAAAAAGAGCAGAAGAGGAGATATTTTTAGTGTTAAACTAAAATGCAGTCTAGCAACATTTTCACTGAGAAGATAAAAAATCCAAGCTCAGGTGCAAACGTGGCTGAATTTCCAGAGTTAGTGCTGCCAGTGGAGTTGTTGCTGCGACACACAAAGCTGCTGTCTGTGTCGGTGCCACTAGAAGTAAAGCTCACAAAGCCCACATTGGCCCCTGCTACTTGATTTGTGATCCAAGTCTGGAATTCAGACACTCGAGCGTAGACCTCAGGGAAACCTGCCTGAGCACAAGGTACTCCAAAACTGGTAATACCAGCCTGGATCCACTTGGAACCCTGTTTGCACTGCAAGGGTCCACCTGAGTCCCCCTGAAAAGAGTAGGATAAAACACAAACATTAAGAAGGGGACTGAAACAGCATATTCTCAAAACTAAAAAAGTCTATATTTACATTATAGGGCTGAAATTGCAAAAAAAATAAATAAATAAATAAACTTGTTTTTCTGTAAGGGAGAATACATATTACAACAATGTGCTTTTGTTTTAACCTGGCATGCTCCTTTGTTCTGTTGCCCCGCACAAATCATTTGCTGAGTGATGTTCGCATCTTTTGCTGGGATATAATTGCAGCTGCACTGTTTGTTTCCAATAACAGGAATCTGAACTTCTTGGAGGGGTGCATTAGCTGGCAAAGTCTCTGTGAAAGGCAAAGCATGAAATGAGTCCACTCTCGTCCAGTCTTACAAATTCAAAAGTATTTTCAATGGATATGTGCAAACGATAACACGAATGATGATGTGATTATTCAATATCGAAACCCCCACAAAAAACTGACATTCCCGTCAGCAACAAACAGTTTGTGCATCTGTCTAGCAGTTCAGGCACCAAAAAGTATTATGCGAATATGTGAACTGCGCACCTTGCAGGGTGAAAAACTTTAATAGCAACAACTTTTAAAGGAAGTAACAAAGAGCGCGTTGTGTGTGACGTCTTCTTTTGCGCATGCGGGCCACTTTGGGGGCCATTTCAGGGGAAGTGGAAACACATGGAGAAACAGCTGACTGTAATAGACATAATGACACCACGGGGGAAGTCGAACAAAACACATTGAACATGAAAAATCCTGGCTTTTCAAAATAAAACAGGAAACATTGAGAGACATGACAAAACAAGCTTGACAATAAGAAACACACTAGGTCACAGACCCAGCCCCTGACAGTTGACATGCAAATACGAATTTAAGTGGCAAAGCGAGACTAGAAAAAACCTGATATGATGCTTCCACCTCCACCAGCTACACAGATTAAATAAAAATCTCACCATTCTCTCTGAGTTTGCCCCAGCCAGTGGCCCAGCAGGATGTGGAGTTGTAGAACTGACTGGAGCTACTTGCCAGGCAGATAGGTCTGATGTAGTCAGTGAAGTTGACAGGGCTGCTGAGCTTCATCAGGGCAATGTCGTTGTTCAAGTAAGAATTGTTGTAGTTAGGGTGGACAAAGACCTGCGACACACTCTGTTTCACCTCATGAGTGTTAGGCCCAGCCTGAGTCTCTCTCCCGAAGTAGAGCGTCCATGCACTCAGTGAGTTTCTGTATTAAATGAATAATAATGAAATCAGTCCATGGATTTAGAATATTTTCTCAAACCTGTCATGACCTATTTTGTTGGCAATTGGTTTTTATTGTATTTAGCCACTAGTGCAAACATACATCCATTATCTCATCCAATTCAGAGTCACATGAGCCTAATCCAGCTGTCATGGGGTAAAAGGCAGGGAACGCTGTGGGCAGGACAACCATTCACATGTACGGCCAAATTATAATGACCAATTAATCTAACTTCATGCATGTTTTTGAGCTGAGAGTAGACCCAGGTGCCACACAGACGGAGGCAGATGAGGCAGACTCCACACAGAAAGGCTTGAACCTGATTTGAACCCTTGACCTTCTCGGTGAATGGTGACAGCGGCAACACCGCAACTCCATGCTGCCCGATAGAAACATGTGTGCGAATTTACAAAAAAAAACAAAAACAAGGTGTGACGACAGAAGCTTGTGCCCAATCAAAGTCAATCAAACCCAAGTGATGAACTAGATAAACAGTGTGTTTATGGGTCACCCTGACTTATACTAACTTCACAAACCACAGGGTCAGAAGCTAACTGTAAAAAAAACTTTCTACCTATGTAATCAAAACTTTTAACTATGCATATAAACCATCAATATTTCCCCAACTGAACTTGTACGTGTTGTGCAAAAAAAAAGAACTGCCACAGACCTTCCATAACCACTACTGAGTTAAATTATCTAACAAACACATTAATACAGAGTTATGACACAGAAAAGTAGCTTATATGGGTGGTAATTTTGTGCAAAAAGTACTTTCTTTGCATGTATACACTGGTACATAGGGCCCAACGTAGTTTTTTGTGGATAGTAAGAATTGATATGAGTAAACATGTTTTCCTTGTTCCTTGTTAAATATAGTAGTTCTATTGTGTTTCTATTTATTTCTTCGGCCTCCTGTATCCTCCAGTTTCCCACATCAGGTTTCTAGTTAATCTACAGATCTCAGTGTTTTTGTCTTTTGTTTTTCTGTTTAATTCTCATTTTTCTCCTTCACTAGTTTCACAGCTGTGTATAGAGCACAGGTGTTGAACTCCAGGCCTCGAGTGCCAGGGTCCAATTTTGGCCCAAATTGAAAGATCCAAACACAACACAACATGATCTTTGCATGATCCCTTTCAAATTTGGTTTTCTTGCAACTGTATAATTAAAACCAGCCCACACAGGGACAGTAACTTGTTATTTAAATTATTTACTGTCTATACTTGGCCACGTCTTGGTTTGAACATGAGACTTATATTTATAGAAGTCTATGTATGAGATCTATGTAGAGTGCATTGAGCTATCTTTAGACTGTAGATGTATCATGCAAGTTTAAAATGAAGAAACGCTTCATTTATGAGACAGTGTGTTATCAAAGTGTGTTACAACAAAGCAAAGTTACAAAGTAAAAGGTTAAAAAGTAATGCATCCCACTTATTACAGCGTCATTGCAGCTGTGCAAAACATACTGTGGTCACATTCTGTAATACATTAATGTAGCACATTACTGCACTGAACTGACTAATCGGGTTACAGTTATAATTATGTGTTTAGTTGTGTTACCCAAGTTGCTCAGTTATCTGCATAATGTAGCCTAAGATATATATTGGTTATTATGTGAAAATGTATATCAGGTCTTGTTATGCAGCGATGCAGAAGGAATGTAACAAGTAGTGTGACAATTTTTTTTTCAAGGGAGTAGTTAAGTAGTGTAATGCATTAGCTTTTTTTAAAAAGTAATAAGTAATGTCTAATAGATTACTTTTTTGAGTAACAACCACAATACTGGCTGTAAGAAACTGTCATAGACATGGTAGTAAATTTGTAAATTTCAGTTCTCCAAATAAATAAATTGGCTCTATTGTATAATCATTTCTACCACATGGAAGCAGATACCATTCACGACTCACTTCCCCACTGTGGCATAACTTTTCAGCATATCCTTCTGCTTCCCTGCTTCTCTCTGACTTTCAAGTAAAGCCAAAAATGCTTTTACATAAGTAAGAATAAGCAATAAAACATCAAATTAAAAGCCCTTATCTTGCAGTATGCTCATGTATCACCAAGACTGGAAAGACTTGAAGCATATAAATAAGGAATTAGGAGACCTTTATTTGGGTCATTACAAACAGTGTATTGCGTGAACCTGTTTGAGTCAAAATTAATTCCTGGTGACTGATCTGACTGCTAATTAAGCAGATATGTTGCTAATTAGACAGTAAAATGAGCCACCACCACTAAGTTTCAGTTAGGTGTTGACCTGGATATTTGCCTTCTGGCAGAAAAACTCGGAAATCCTTCGAGAGAACAAAAAGACCAGTGTAGTGCAGGTTTTGCTGGATGAATGGGCCAGACACAAGACGTTCACCCAGAAGACAAAAGTCAAAACTGAATTCCCACTTGGGTTCATGTTAAGGGAAAGTAGGGCACTTTTATAAATGTAATGTAGAGGCTTTGTTGGATCAAATTACGCAAATTGCACAGAAATGCAAAAAAAAAATAAGTTTAAAAAGTCTAAAGAAAAAATGTAACTTATTTTACACATGACACAATCTTGTGTGAGTGAGTGAAAGCCTTGCATTTGACCTACTTATGTACCAAGACTCACTTCCTTTACCACATGACTTTTGTATGTGCATTGTATCAAACACTGTGACAGAACTTACAGCGTGAAGGAACTGAAATAGATCGTGTGAGTTCCTGCCTCATAATACCCAGCAGTATTTACATAACAGCAAAGTCCATCCAGGAAAAAGAGCGTTTTTTACAGGACTCTGCGCAGTCCTGTAAAACTTAGCACATCCCACTGACTGGATAGGAATTACAAGGATCAGTAGCAATAGGTGCTTATCTGATCATCAGGAGTTCTGATGTTCTGGCAGTTTGCTGGTCTGGAGCATTCAGGTGTGCATTCACACGATGGCACAATCTATCCAGGATTGGATGTCCCAGTAAATGTTCACTTTAAAAAAGGGGTTAGATCTCAGGGTATAGAGGCCCGGGTAGCGTGCTAAATGTTAGAGCTCATCACGGTACAACTAAAAAAAGACTGAAGAAAGAAGAAAGAGCTGCCAGGAGAAAGCGTCTTCTCACATGGAAACATTGTTCATGTTTGCAAAGTTTCATTTGAACAAACCACAAAACCTTTGCAACAGTTTCCTTTGAATCGATAAGATAAAAATGGAGAAAATGTGTCCATAATGTACACTGCCATGTATGGTAAAAAACAAACGCAGCATGTCAGCACACACACTTCTAACCACCAGTCGATCATGTGGTGTAGGCGTGACGATTTTAACACCCACAGGACCGCAGCACCTTGCAGTCAGCCATAAAGTATTCTGTACATATACATGCTTCAACAAGCTACTGAACTGGATTAATTAGGTCAATTCACCCTCACAGCATCAGGTTTAACTTAGCATGTTATTTTCACTAAAGTCAGGGTGACTAGTCTGAATGTGTGACCTCTAAATGTACTGTGTATGACACGACAGGAAGACATGCTAAGAGGATATTTCTTCATCCGTTGGCAGACGCCTGTCATGGTACAAAATTGTTATCACACAGGTTGACTATTGTGCAACAAGCAAAAGTTCAAGTTACGAGGAAAACATCTTAAGCGTGAAATTCTTGTTTATCAATCAGATGTCAAAGCAAAGCAGTGAAACATCACCAGGTTTGAGGATTAGATGTAAAGGAAAGAGCCACTTCTTGACAAAAATTTTTTACTGATTACATCTATAAAAGGTACCGCCAGCTAACACTGCTATCAGTGTTGACACCTTATCATTCTGTCACAGGAACAAGCCTGTAGTCACACTTAGACACACTTCCTTCTGCACATTTATGGTTTGTGGCAGCAAGTTTGTAGAAAGAAAGTAGATCCTATGTAAAGCACAAATTGGGGGTTTTTTCGCATCAGTACATTACTATTGTTTGCTTGCCTGTTCAACAGTTTAAGCACCAGAAGACGAGTACCACTTAGCAACATTGTATTCAAGATAACATACAGGAAATAACTCATTTCAACATTTAGAGGTACAAATAGCACTGAAGGCCAGACGTAAATATGTTAATTTGATTTTGTACAGCCGTTCTTTTAATAGTTTATTAACATAAATATTTGTTCTGATGAGCTGGAATCACCATTATTCACTGAAGAAACACCTTCTGCACAATAGTGAACTGGTTGAACTTGTATGTTAGTTATGCTCGTTATCTGTAACCAACAAGTATTGATTTGTATCAGCTAACTTTATTAAAACTGCTCTGTGAACACGTCTAACAGGATATTTTACTCAACTTTTAATTCACATGCTTCACTTGTTTTTTGAGTCTCTCACTGATGTTTGGTTTCTTTGAGGTCTGCTGGGCAACATAAATAATCTGCTGGCTTTTTTTTTTGTCTCTAAAATACTGAATTTGAACACAATGTTCCCACATAGACTTCCGGTAAAAACGTGCAATACAGAATGAAACAAAGAGTATATCTTACGTTATAATGCAGTGAGCTGCTGTGAGCACCCACTGGTCACTGATGAGGGTGCCTCCACAGATGTGAGATGATTGATAGTGTACGCTCACCTGCCAGGGCCATGACCCAGCTGGGGCATTCTGACCACCCACTATTTTTGTATTGAGAGGTGCCACCCCACAATCTGACAGAGCAAAGACAGCTGGGTGTCAGTTAATATGCAATAAAAGTTCTCGTGCTTGATTTTAGTCACACTGGAATATAAACATTCAGAGTATTTACACAGTTGTATGGTATATATGAAATGTGATGTGCTCACCCTGAGCCTTTGAGCCTGTAAGAATAAAAGAAGAAGTCACTAGAAATTATAACCTTTGTGAATGTTGCCATAAGTGTGTAACAACAGCCACATGGGGACACTAGAGTTACAGCTTTTTTTCCTTACTTTACCTTTTTTTCCTTAACTTTTCCATAACTGTAAATACAGCTAAGTGGATCACATTTTACTCTCATTATTTCAAGTCAACAAATTTGACTTGATGCAGGCCGCACTGTATTTCTGTCGAATACATGAAAAACTTTCTGCATTGTGATGTTACATTGTGGTTTGTTCTAACACATTGAAGACTTGTTGTTACTAAGTTACTAAGCAAAAGGTTAACAAAAATAGTTTAAGCATTGCTGATAACCAACAGTACGTCTGTTTAGTGAAGCAGTATTGCTGTAATTCCTGTTTTCATAAAGTTCATACTGACAGCAGAGGGTTTGTTTTGCTTTACTTTCTCTTACATTTTTTACACAATACACTTCAATACAAAACCATCATTACCCGGATTCTCAAACATTGTACAAAATAGCTCTAACAAAACCAAAAAAGCTGTTAAAGATTAGGGCTCACCTTGCAGAGTGATGAGCGCGCACACCAAGAGGATCCAGGCTGCCATCCTGTTCACTCACAGTAAAGTTGTATTTACAATAGGCAGAGGTGTCATTGTGATAGTTTTCTTTCACTGCCTATTCTAACCGGTTTGTCAACGTTCCAGCATAACTTAAGTGTCACGATTCTGGGTTTTGTACCCTGCGTTTTATATTTGGGACTCTGTTTTCTGTTTGATAGTTTCCATTTGACTTTGTTATAGTTTTCAGTTTAAACTTTACCTTTGCTTTGCTTGGGTTTTTATTCTGATTTTGCATTCATCATATTCTTTGTTATTCTTTTTCCAGCCCTCCCACGATCCCGATGCCAAGTCTGTGTTTCTGTGTTTTGTCTTTGTGTTTACTTTGGCCTGTCAGGTTCACGTGTGTTAGCCTCAGTCTCAGTGTTACCTGTTATAGTTTGATAGTCTCTTCTCCTGTGTGGGTTGTTTTTCAGTTTTGCTTCTTTCTTGCTCATTAATTGGTTCTGTTCACCTGTGCCTTCTTTTCCCCAGCTGTGTCTCTTAATCATGTCTATTTAAGTCCTCAGTTTCCCTCTGTTCTTTGTCACACCATTGTCATTCCCACCTTGTATGTGTGCCCTGTCTGCTCAGTAATCAGTAAGTTCTAATCACATGACAGAACGACGTGACCATAACATGATAATATAATGCTGAAATGGCTTCCCAGCCCACATGCTTTCACTTGGTTTCAGTCGCTTTTGCCATGATTAATAATTGATACTGTTTGAAATGTTAAGGACATTTTAGAAGGCATCCTCTATTTTTAAGCTGGCTATTTGATCTGAGTGCTTCATATCAGGTTGAGTTTTGTGTTCCACAGTTGTGTCGGTTTGAATCTGTTCTCCATGTTTTTGAGCCAGCTTTCCCAGAAACTGTTTGTGCTGTCCCGCCTTCATCTATAGAAACTTTTTGTAATGTTTGACCAGTCGTCAACAAGACTGTTTATGCCTCCCAACCTGTGGCTGTGAAGACTGTTCGTCTTCCTGTGATCATCCCCGAGCATACCTGTCCACCTGTTCCTGTTCCCAGGGCGACTAAGGTCCAGCCATTTCCTGCACCCATACCAGTTCCTCAGGTGGGAACAGCTGATGTCCAGCCGTCACTTGGTTCGTCTGCCCTAACCTGGGCAGGTTTATATTATTGCTCAGGGAGTCGGATGTTACCTATGTTAATAAAAACAAAATGTATACAGTTTTATATGCAAGGCAAGATGGTGAACAAACAATCCAGTTGGACTTCCACTAGGCTACTTAATAATGTAATGGTGCATGGTGTTGATGTGGGTATGGAATAAGACTGGGCTGACTATTAAAACCACATCACTTTAAAAAATGAATGCATAAAACCTGTCATGAAAGTGAAGCAGAGTGATTCCCATGTTGTGGGTGGTTACTCACCATCCTATGTACTCATATCTTCATGCTGCACAGGGTACGTGCCACAAGATGGACACAACAGACTTCAGTCTTGCTAGTAGCGGTGAACTTGATTAGGTGATGTGCAAAAAGAACTAGAGTCACATACAGTATTTTCTTGCTGAGGACTTCTCTGCACCCACACAACCACAAATATAAAATGTAATTACCTTATGAGCTTTATCCACAAAACAAATGTACAACTTTCAATCAAGAAATTGTTACATCTAAGTTCTTTTGGGTTACTTATACACAGCAGTCATGTCTGCATAAGCCTGAGTGAGAGCAGCAAAACAAAGACTATAATTTGCAGGGCAAATAAATGGAAGACATGAACAAGGGGTCGGTGTCTGTAGTTAAGACTTTCTGTACACACCACTGAGGTTAACTGGTTATAGTTTTCATATGTCCACAAGTCCACAGTGGCCTGTTTTGGTCTAGGTAATGTACATTTTGTCAACCTATCCACAAACCTATCTGAAACCCTACGCCTTAGCTTACGCCATAACCTGTCATACAGTTCGCTAGAAATGTAACCACACATTCACAGCAAAATCTCCAGTGTTAAATTAACACTAGAGAGTGTCTATATGGTTCCACACCTCTGGGTGTTAAATACAACACTGTTGAGTGTTAAATTAACACTTTTGACAGTGTTATATGTTCTAACACTGGAAAATAACTCAAAATGTTAGAAATATTCCAGTGTTAGAAAATCAGCACTGCTCAGTGTTAGCCTTTGTTAATCTTCAAAACTGACTAAGTTACTTTTAAACATATAACACTGTCAAAAGTGTTAATTTAACACTGGGGATTTTGCTGTGACAGCATGTAATGACTATTATTGGCACGTTCAGTACCGTCATTTCCTCCTATGCATTCCTCCTTCAAATTGACAGGAAGAGAATAGATCTAATGGAAAAAAATACTTGCTGTGTGCATTCGGAAGCAGTGCTCTAATTTTGTCCTGGGTTAAAAAATGCAGCACACCTGTTTCTTTATACTGCTGCACTTTCACCCTGTGACCTCCCACAATGGAAGTTGCAACACCAGTTTCAGGCCTAAAACACTCAGTAGTCTTTCCTAAACGCCACCACCAATGCATTTCTAAACACCTTTCTGAATAACTGAATAACTGTATTAATCTAGGATATTATTAAGCTACAACAAACTGACAGGCAAATATTGCCTTTTTAAGTCCAGATCATGCCAGTTATTACCATCATTTTAAGAATAATCCTGCACAGAAGCTCAGAGATGTACAAATACACAGAGTGAGATGTTGTATATGTTTAGGAGCTTGAGTTTGTGGAAAGAAATTTGCAAAACAACACTTGACACTTAACAAAGTCTTGGCTCCTGGTTTTAACTTCTTATGCTCCCTGTTAGCACGTTTTCTCCACTATTGACTAAATGGCGACACCTATCGTTTAGGACAATACTGCAGCGGCTTCTTACACCTTGGATGACAGCATCTGTGTGACGACAGCGAGGCTCTGAGCGAAGCGACCACTGCAGAGGGTATATTGGAAGCTTCGGGCTGTTTTCTTGAAACAGAAGAAATGGTTGCTGAGATACCCAGAAACAAACAAATCATTGAGTATGTATGTCTTGATAATGATTCTTAATTATAGAAGTTCTGACAAGCTGGGAATGTGTGTTGTTTTAATAATCACACACAAACCATAAAGGCCTTTATAAAGCTGACATCTTTTTTTATTTCTACCTTGTATTCAAATCATAAACTTGTTTTCCTCATACTTCAGCTTCAAAGGTTTTTGCTGACGTCATGGTCACATATTGAATAAGAGCATCAATGAGACAAAAGCAAAATGTTCACAATAGTTAAATAACTTCATTCCTTCGATCAGCTGGCCCAGATTCACATGCCCCTCCTCTTCACTCAATCTTCCAGCCTGATGAAAGCAGCGAGCGTGTCAAGAAGAGAAAACACAAAGTTCAGTCACAAAGAGCTGGATGTGAGCACAGGTTCAAGACAAACAAGGATTTGGGACACATTAATCACACTTTCAGTTCTTGCTTTTGTTTCCTCCTCATACAAAGTACAGCAGAAAAATACTGACTGACTACTTCAGCTCAGTGACGCACATCCCCTCTGGATCAGAAATTAACCCTTGACTGATGTGCGTGTTAAGACTAATTAAAGTGCAAAGTCAAACAATTTAAACTCCTAATCAAGTTAATGACTGTTAAGAGGGGGGATTGACTAGATAACACCTTTTGTTCTCTTCAGACATCAAGCGCTTGTTCTGGTTAAATATTATCAGAGGAGCTGACAGAAGAGACAGGGGGGCTTGTACAGAGGGGCATAAAAGAACCTCCTTTTCTCCGCAAAATGCATCGGCACCCGAACCCTCCCACAGACAGAAAAGAGTTGTAGTCTCGCCTGAGTGTTTGCCCACATAAACTCAGTGGGATTACTCACTCTGTTTGTTCATGGCAACACTGCACCAATGTAAAGTAGCCCCGAAACCTTGGCCTGAGGCCCGTCTGAATTTTAAGTGACCAGTTTCCCCATTTGTGCGTCCCTGCACATCTCCCTCCTTTTTTCCTCTCTCCCGTTTCCACCCTGTTGCTCTCCAGGCCTTGCTTGCTTCTGGAGGAACGTACACATATCAAGGGCCTCCTTTCACTCCCGAGGTCCAGGAACGATATTTCTTATTTCACCGACTTGCAGGACAATCCCGCCCACTGTCACCTCGTAGCTCTATATAAGACAGGGAAAAGGACCTGATGATAAGAAGTCGGTCTCAAGACAAGCCCAGCCATGCAGTGTAAAGTCCTCGCCTATGCTGTCCTCCTGACTCTGATAAAGCATGGTGAGTATTATGGATGTTTACAGAGGCGGCACTGATCTTACTCTGGCTGATGACAAGGTATGAGGTGGGCTACCTCAGGTGGGCTATAAGTGAATCTTTTAGTATGGATGGTGCATATTAAAGACCTTAAGTGTTAGACATTGTGAGCATCCACCTGACCTTTATGTTGAGTTGATTCCTGGATTAAGTTACAGTGTATGTAACAGTGCGATATGATGTGAAGTGAGACATGAGTGATTTTTAATATTCATGTAGCTTTTGTTGTTTTCTTTATAGGCCAGTGTGGCCAGTGCTGCCTAATGCAGCTGTTGGGTTTATAATGTCTGGTGAAGTTCAGCCGCTTATTAAGTGGAAGTGGCACGGTATTAACAGCCCATCAGACACAATGCATCACAGCTTAACTTCTAGAAAATATGTAATATAAACCTGGTAATGCAATATAAGTCTCTCTCCACCATGTCGAACTTAAAGTGACATCAGTGAGTATAAATGAAAAATAACCTCTTCCTCTTTGGTGCATCAGCACGAAGTTTGCTATTAACTGATTCGAGGTGCTTTTCAAAAATAGCCTGTCAAAAGCGTCAACAGTACAGTTTGACCTCCATTCTTAGGTTTCTTGTTAATCTGCTTTGATCGACCCGTCATTTAGCGAGAAGCGTAAATAAGCGCTTCATGCTGATGGAAATTTTTCCACCGCTTTGTGTTACACCTGCCAAGAAGTGTTTATTGTACTAGTTACTAATTAAGCTGATTGGATGGC